AGGCAATAGTATAGTTCATTAAGCATTCTCATAAACACAAGAGCAAAATATATCACTTACTAACCTGTCTGAAGCCACTTCGATGGATTCAAGACCGGCCGTTTCAGGTGCATGAAGTTGGAGATCTTCGCCTTCTGTGTCACTGCCGGTTTTAGATATGCAACCATTATCAGCATTCGTGTCATTCACAGCTATTTCGTCTTCTATGGTTGAAGCCACATTTTCTCCTTCATTTGCCTTCAAGAATGATAACAAATTTAGAGTGGTGGCACTATATTCTGTTCAACAACATTCTCTGATGTATCTTTCCTTCTACAACTGTTAAAAATGCTTATTGATTTGGAATTAGGACTCACCACCTCAGACGTATCAATTACAGGCGTTTCAGCTATCTTGTCAACGCTGTGATGTGTTGCTTCTGAAGTTGAAATGAGTTCATCAGGGCACGCAGTAGCTGTAGCTGTTGGTTCAACGACAAGATTCTCCTCAGACGTATCAATTACAGGCGTTTCAGCTATCTTGTTAACGCTGTGATGTGTTGCTTCTGAAGTTGAAATGAGTTCATCAGGAGACACAGTAGCTGTAGCTCTTGGTTCAACGACAAGATTCTCCTCGGCTTCAAAAGTTTTCCTTGGAGTTTCCCTCACATCCAAGTTTTCATCAAGTTCAATGGTAGATACATGAGCTACTTCCTCGAGATCATATGACTGTGAGCCATGTTGGGAAGTAGATAATCTCGGTCTTGCTTGAACCTCCACACGATTCTCAGTGAGCTGTTGATAACCATTTGTTATCTCACAGTTTTCTATTTCATTTACAGAGACTTTCTCTATAACTTCAGAAGAAAGAGGCTCTACATTCTCATTGACCGGCTCAGATTCCCTAGGAACGACGGCTTTTTCTTCAGTAGAGCTAGTAGGAATAGCTTCTGCTGCACTAACTATTGAGCTTTGATTGGACACACTAGCAACTTTGGCTTCAACTTTTTCTTCCGTAGAGCTAGTAGGAATAGCTTCTGCTACAGTAACTACAGAGCTTAGATTGGACACACTAGCAATGTTGGCGTTAACTTTATCTTCGCTCTGCGCCGAATTTGAAGTTTCTTTCTTTTTCTTACTAGAAGAACGAACCCTTTTACGATCCTTAATTTTGATGACGACATTGCTAAGATTAGAAGGAGCAGCTCTTTCCTCTTTCTCAGAACCTGTTTCAATATTCGCATCAGATTCTTCACTGGCTTCTTCAGCTAACTTAGCATGTTGCTTTTTCAATTTTGCTTCAGTCTCACGATATCTCTCAATTTCGCTCGCATCCCCGAACCGGAACACATGGCTTCCATCGTTAAGCCCTGCAGATCCAAGCAAGCAATTGAGGCTTCAGTCTTGTAAAAGATCAAACACTAAACACACAAAACTTTGTCGAAGTCAGTAGAAGAGTGAGGAGTGTTGCTTACGAGTGGTGGACACGAGATCGAACTTCTCCGGAGCAGAATCCGAAGAAGAAGACTGTGAAGATGAAGTGGAATTAGCCAATTGTAGTTGCGAAGAGGACAATCGGAGCTCAGGAACGGAGAATCTGCTTCCACCGGAAAATCTCCATCGACGGTGAAGATAACAAGGGAAGATGAGAAAAGGAGGAGGTTGAAGAGAAGAAAGGATCAAATGATCGGCCATTAACACTAACACTCAAGCCGACGATGAAGATGATTTGGGTGACGTTAAAACCGACCCTCTGTTTCAGTCAGATGTGTTTGGCTCCGCGTTTATGTGGCTACTGTTTTTTTTCTCATTACATTTTTGTTTGGAAAATTGTAAAAAACCCCTCAAACATTCCATTTGTTTGCAAATCTACCCTACATCTCCGAAAATGCAAAATGTTCATCATGTAGGAGGTTATGCAACCGTATAACGTAAAATAAAAGATTTTATGGAACAAAACTATGGTCGGAGTTTGATATGACACTGTTTAGGCAAGCTGATCCTATTCGTATCCAATTTTTTTGAATAATTATATGTTCAAGTTGTGATTTTAATTACTAAAATTACTCATTTACATTGCATATTCGATTTTTTTTTTTCCGTTGATGGCATTACTCGAATCTTATATAATCATTGATCTGTAATGATTTCTGATTTAGCAAAAAAAATAATGATTTCTGGTTTTCCAAATTTACAAATAATGAACAGTTTGAGGGTCGTTTTGCAAATGTCTCTTTTCTTTCATTTATGGCCATAAAAATCTCCTCTGTTTTACTACTCTTCTCTATCCTGTGTCGAACCAGTCGTCATTCTCAAACCAAAATCAGCGATGGTGGCTCTCAACGTTTCTTCTTCTCTCCAGACCAAATCATTCCTCCCCTACCACCACTCTCCCCACCGTCCGATCTCTTTCTCACCCGTTTACGCCGTCCACTCGACTGATCCCAAGAAATCTTCCCAATCAGCCTCTGCTCCGGCCAAATGGAGCTTGGAGAGCTGGAAATCGATGAAAGTTTTGCAATTACCGGAATACCCAGATCAAAAGGATCTCGATTCGGTTCTACAAACGCTTTCTTCTTTCCCTCCGATAGTCTTCGCCGGAGAGGCAAGGAAACTGGAAGAGAAGCTAGGTCAAGCGGCCATGGGTCAAGCCTTTATGCTCCAAGGTGGTGATTGCGCTGAGAGTTTCAAGGAATTCAACGCTAATAACATTAGAGATACTTTTAGGGTTCTTCTACAGATGGGTGTTGTTCTCATGTTCGGTGGACAAATGCCAGTAATCAAGGTCGAGTTTTTGAAGTCAATTTGAGATCTTTCTGTGTTGATTTTGGTTTATGGAAAGTTTGTGAATTTTTTTTGTTTTGTGGGGTTTTGGATTTGCAGGTGGGAAGAATGGCTGGTCAGTTTGCTAAGCCGAGATCAGACCCATTCGAGGTGAAAGATGGTGTGAAGCTGCCTAGTTATAGAGGAGATAACATTAATGGCGATGCTTTCGATGAGAAATCGAGGATTCCTGATCCTCATAGGATGGTTAGAGCTTATACACAATCTGTAGCTACGTTGAATCTCTTGAGAGCATTTGCAACTGGTGGTTATGCAGCAATGCAGAGAGTTAATCAGTGGAATCTTGATTTCACTGAACATAGTGAACAGGGTGACAGGTTGTTCAAACACTTCTCTCTTTGTTTATAATCTTTCGAGTGTTTATAGTCTGTTTACTTTTTTGGTGGAACTTGTATGTTGTTATTGCAGATGCGGTTTCTTAATTTTTGTTGTTGTGACTTTACATAGGTACCGTGAATTGGCCAATAGAGTTGATGAGGCTTTAGGGTTTATGGGTGCGGCTGGTCTTACCAATGCTCACCCGATCATGACTACTACTGAGTTTTGGACATCCCATGAGTGTTTGTTACTGCCTTATGAGCAAGCACTCACAAGAGAGGATTCAACATCCGGACTTTACTATGACTGCTCTGCGCACATGGTTTGGGTTGGTGAACGAACTCGTCAACTCGATGGTGCTCATGTTGAGTTCTTGAGGGGAATCGCTAACCCCCTTGGAATCAAGGTACGTGATCAATATGATTGTGCTTACTGTTTAGCTTCCTCATCTTTATCTCAAATGGGAAATTTTAATGTGTTTTTGACTCAGGTGAGTGATAAAATGGTCCCTAGTGAACTGGTTAAGCTTATAGAGATACTAAACCCTCAGAACAAGCCTGGAAGGATTACAGTTATAGTGAGAATGGGAGCTGAAAATATGCGGGTCAAGCTTCCTCATTTGATCAGAGCAGTACGTGGAGCCGGTCAGATTGTGACTTGGGTTAGTGATCCAATGCACGGAAACACCATCATGGCTCCAAGTGGGCTAAAAACTCGCTCTTTCGATGCAATCAGGGTAATAACTCCAACTTACTTCATCATCCGACTCTATATATAATCTCACATACGATTCATGTATTTGCCCATGAATTTTACAGGCTGAGTTGAGAGCGTTCTTCGACGTGCATGATCAAGAAGGAAGCTTTCCTGGTGGGGTTCATCTAGAGATGACAGGACAAAACGTGACAGAATGCGTTGGAGGGTCACGCACCATCACTTACAACGACTTAAGCTCACGTTACCACACTCACTGTGACCCGAGGCTCAATGCATCTCAGTCTCTGGAGCTTGCGTTCATCATTGCAGAGCGTCTACGAAAGCGAAGGCTCGGTTCCGGAAACCTTCTGTCATCTATTGGAAACTAGAGGATAATAATAATAATAAGACAATACTTGTCCCAGTTATGATATGTGTATAGAGAAGGCTCTTTATCAAGTTTCAGTAACTGAGCTTGTGTGTTGGGTTTTGCTTTTCTCTTACACTTTACTTGTTATATATGTGAAGTGGCCAACTTAATAAACCGGTAAATCAGTTTTATATTACTTAAAGTTTAAACTGTATACTGGTTTTGTCTCTAGGTGTTCAAATTGGATCTTTCTTTCGAATATATTGTCTAATCTTGCAAGAAAAATTCAATATTTGACTCAATTACCACGAAAAGTCTGTCTAATTTGTTGTAAATTATTGACTCAGAAAAATACTTTAAAGTTTAAACCTTTAAGGCTTTAACAAACCAAAGAAGTTAAATTTGGAAAAGTCTGTAATTTCACATCTGAGACCACTCGTTTATAGAGACAAACGCAGGCTAAGATAACGAGACGACCCGCGAGAGAGATTGAGGTTACGAAGCTACTTCAATGGAGTCTTCTACATTCGCCGCTTTCTCAACCGTCACGGCAACAGCGATGGCTAGAACAACTACTGGTCCTTCTTTGCCTCTCCTCACAATCTCTAAAGCTCTTAGCCGTCACTTCTCCGGCGCTAGACACCTCCATCCTCTATTGCTAGCTCGATCATCTCCAGCTCTGCGCCGGCTTGGTGGGTTTCATGCTAATCGTCTTAACTCGTCGAATTCGCTTTGCTATTCTTCTGCTTTGAGAAGCTTGGGAGCTGCTGTTTTGCCGGTATTCCGACGCCGTTTGCAGTGTTTGTCTAGCTCGTCGCCGTCTTTCAGGAGTATTTCAA